TTCCAGCAAGGAGAAAGTGGGGGTATGTGTGTGTGCAGGATGAGGGAGGCCACGCCTAGGATGGGGGTATGTCTGCACCCAGGCCTAGGATGACATCCTTGATGTCCACCAGCAACAGGTCGATCGTGTAGCAGTCCACATCCCGGGGTGCATCTGAGGGGCCGTAACCTCGCAAATCCACAGCCACAACATGAAAGCGGCTCTGGAACTCCCGGAGCTGGTAACGCCAGGAGAACCTGCCAGGCGGGTGGGGGAGAGAGGCTGAGTCAGGGCCCTCAGGTTGCACCTGCACCCTACGCCCATCAGCGACCATTGGCAACCCCTCCTTCCTGCTCTAAACTTCCCCTAAAAGGAGGATGGGGAATCCCAGGCAGAAGCAGAGGCAGAGGCAGAGGCTGAGGCTGAAGCCAACTACACCCTGAATCCAGGGAGCCTCAATCAACCTCAGTACCCCTTTGTCCTGTCCCTTCAGGGCCTAGGGATCCTGGGTATGCTGGCCAGTACCCCGTCCCCATCTATGTTCAGCTTGTCCTGATCTACGCAGCCCTCCCACTGCCTCTTGGGAACCCAAGCTCCACCTGCCCCCGAGTCCCCTGCGCCTCAGGCCCCTGGGCCCCAGACGTACCAGTTCTCAGGGAAGCCGTGCAGAAACAGCATGAGGGGTCCGTTGCCTTGTCCAGCCGAGACATAGTGCAGACGCAGGCCCGAGCTCTAGGGGGAGGGCACGGCCTGAAGCCTGGGGAACCCTCCCTCCCTAGGTTTGAACCGTCTCGACCCCACACGACCCCGCAGCCCCGATAGCGCCCCCGTGCGATCACCTGGAGGTTCAGGAAACCATGCTCGCCCAGCGAGGGGTCGCTCAGGCAGGCGGGGCACACGCTCCGACGGCGTCCACAGCAGCCGCGCCGGGGCCGGCACAGCACGTGCGTGAACGCTATGCAGCCGTAGACCGCCGCGGCCACCAGCGCCACCGAGAACACCAGGCTCCACATGAAGGCGCGCAGCAGCTTCAGCGACAGGCGCGACGGCGCCAGCAGCGCGGTTACCACCAGCTCGGGCATGTCGCTGCGCTCCGGGACCACGGCGGCGCTGCCGGCCGGGGTCACCTGCAGCAGTGGCGAGGCGGTGTCAGGGCTCAGGGGCCCACCGCCTTTGGCCTGGGGCCCCTCCGTGCCGTCGGGGTTTGTGGGACGCGCTGACGGAAGAGGCAGGCAGCTCCGACCGAAACCGCCGGAGCGCACGACTCACCTGAGTGCCAGGTAAACACCTGGGCGCGACAGGGACAGGAAATAAGGGTAGGGTGCAGAGGCTGGGGAGGAACGGGTTGGAAAGGGGGGAAAGAAATGGGCGGGGCCTAGCAGGGCGTGTGCGGGGCTTAGGACTGGGGCGGGGCTCAGGAGGACTCAGCAGCAGGTGGGCGAGGGTCTAAAGAAGGCAATTCCGACCCGGGCGCGGTGGCTCATGCCTGTAAGCCCAGCACTTTGGTAGGCCGAGGCGGGCGGATCACCTGTGGTCAAGAGCTCGAGACCAGCCTGGTCAATGTGGTGAAACCCCGTCTCTACTAAAAATACAAAAATTAGGTGGGCGTGGTGGTGGGCGCCTGTAATCCCAGTTACTTGGGAGGCTGAGGCAGGAGAATCGCTTGTACCCGGGACGTGGAGGTTGCAGTGAGCTCAGATCGCGCCACTGCACTCCAGCCTGGGTGACAACAGGGAAACTCCGTCACAAGAAAAAAAAAAAAAAAAGGCAATTCCGAGCCCAAACCTTAAGGAGGGGATCCTGGATCCTCAGTTAAGTGGGCGGACCTGGAGTGAGGGGCGGGGCATATGCAGAGTAGGTGCGGCCTACAAGCCAGAAAGGAGAGTTGGAGTGGTAGGTGTGGCTTATGAAGGTGGGCGGGGAGAGGGTGGATCCTAGAGAAGGTGAGGCCTAACATTGGGCGGAGAAGGCGGGAGCCTGGGCCAAAGAGCTGAGGGTCGGCCTGGGTTGGGGGGGCCAATGAGACGAAGGGCGGGGCCGAGACCTAATATGGCGGGTCGGGCGGGCCTGGAAGCCCAAGAGGAACAGGCAATGCCAGATGCAGGACTAGGAGGGAGGCACGGGCGGTATTAACGGCTCGAGGAGGCTTCGGGAGGCCCGGCCGACGCCCGCCTGGTGCTCCCCACCCTGGGGCGCGCGACCCTCCCCTCGGTCTGGCTCCAAAGACCTAGCAGCACTGACTTCACCCAGCTGTGGTTCCAACGGCGGGTCCAGCGGCCTCGGCCCGTCGCCGTCCTCCTGCTGGTCCAACAGGCCCACACGCCCGCCCCTGTACGTCTGTGATTGGACGGCGGCGGCCACTGATGCCCAAGCGACAGGTCCTGGCCCGGCAGCCAATCGGCAGGTGTTGAGTCCCAGGCTCCGAGAGCTGGCCAAGGAGGCGGGGATACCCTGATTCCTAGAGGGCAGGCCTGGTTCCCCCGAGGAGGACCCGACCTATTGAATCACTGGGGTTCTGGGGTTCTGGCCGAAAAAGGAAGTGGGACAGGGCCGGGTGTGATGGGGCCTAGAGTCACAGAGCCTTGCGGCCCTGCTGTCCCTGCAAGAAGCCAGCTTCTGGCCGGGCGCGGTGGCTCACGCCTGTAATCCTAGCACTTTGGGAAGCCGAGGCGGGCGGATCACAAGGTCAGGAGATCGAGACCATCCTGGCTAACATGGTGAAACCCCGTCTCTACTAAACAAACAAACAAATACAAAAAAATTAGCCGGGCGTGGTGGCTGGCGCCTGTAGCTACTCGGGAGGCTGAGGCAGGAGAATGGCGTGAACCCGGGAGGCGGAGCTTGCAGTGAGCCGAGATTGCGCCACTGCACTCCAGCCTGGGCGACAGAGCGAGACTCCGTCTCAAAAAAAGAAAAAAAAAAAAAAACACTCCACTTGTCACCTCTTGCCCCTTTCCACCTCCCACTTTTATCCATATACCTTTGAACTGTCAAGGCTGCTAAACATTACTGTCCTGGGACCATAATTAAATCCATGAAGTTGCTACTTAAAGGTGAATAGTGGTTTATGTTCTGCCTCAGTAAACAATCGCATCTCGGAGCTGAATAGACCTCTATGATTACATTGCCCATAGTGTACAAACTTTTGTTCTCCCTGGACTACTTAACCACTACCTTTCTTTTGTTGTGTGATTACCCTACATCAAAGCTTTTTTTTTTTTTTTTTGGGTTGGAAGTCTCACCAAATCACAAGCTGGAATGCAGTGGTGTCATGATCTCGGCTCACTGCAACCTCCGCCTCCAGGGTTCAAGCGATTCTCCTGCCTCAGCCTCCAGAGTAGCTGGGACTACAGGCGTGTGCCAGCACGCCCAGCTCATTTTTTGTATTTTTCAATAGAGACGGGGTGTCACCACCTTGGCCAGGCTAGTCTCTAACTGCTGATCTCAAGCGATCCTCCCACCTCGGCCTCCCAAAAGTGCTGGGATTACAGGCATGAGTCACCGTGCCTGGCAGCTTTTTCTTTTACACCTTCCATTAAATCAATTCTCTCACAATTTAATGTTCCCAGGATCTCTCCCTCCTGACTCCGCTAATCTGGCCACATGGGTGGTGCATGTCTTGGGAACCTCCCTTCTTCCTCTGCTACACATCACTGAACCCCAGCCCTCACCTTCCCTGCTTCTGTCTACCCTCAAACAAAAAGACAGCAGTCATCACAGGAGAGTAACTTTATATTCAGTACAAATGTTTATTTTTGCAATGAGAACTGCACAAAAAAAAAAAAAAGAACCTTTCGTATATAAGTGAAAAGTCTATGAATTCCCTTCTACAAATATCTAAAGTGTTTAATACAGCTCTCAGATTCACTGACATAATTATTGGCCAAGCGATCCGTGCATACAGTACAGTGGGGGCTTGTACACACCTCTTACTCTGGTATAGGACTAACATTTCTAGTACTGTGGGAAGGGTTGGGAAATGGCTGGAGAAATTAAATAGATCCCAGTTCTAATTACAACCCAGTTAGAGAGACACCCATCAGGGAGGTGTGGAGGCGGCCATGGCAGAGTTAAATCTTCAGCAGGAAGGTGCAGAGAAAACTATCCAGCTCAGCAGTTGGACCCAGCCTGGGGAAGTGTCTGAACAAAACAAGGAACAAAAATGAGGGGGTGGGATGAGATGGAAGAAACCCCAAAGAACCTAAATACGTCACACTTGAAGCGGCACAGTGGTATATGAGGAAGTGCCTGAGTGGGCAGGGACATCGAGGAAGTGGGGGGCCTCTGGCTGGATGCCTGAACCACACCCTCACAGGGAGATTTGGCAGATCCAAAGACAATAAAGGACCTTTCAGGTCAAAAAGAGGGGATGTAGGTTAATAAACAGTGCTAGAAACGTTTCAGTTTGTCTCTGCATACATATAAATTATATACTTGTATCTTACATCTTAGGGGCTCTTCTTGGCCGTCACCCGTGCCTTCTGGTTGGGGCATGTGCGTACACAGGTGGGCACACAGGCAGGGTGGCCACCTGTGGGCTTTCTGGGACAGCAATGTGCACGCGTGTGTGTATATGCATGGGGGGGGTTAGGATTCTATTTCGGGGGATGTAGACTTATCTAAGAATATCTGGTTAACCCTGAGCTTAAATGAGAGGAGTTAGGTTGAGGCAGGCAAGGTGGGAGGAGTGGCCCAAGACCTTTGGTGAATGGGGGGACAGGATGGAGTAGGGTGGAGGGAAGAATACTGTCTGGAGTTTGGCCAGGGTTCTGCTGGAGTACACCCTCCACCTCGGCCAGGGTCCACAAGGATGGGTACTGGGCTCTGCGTCACAGCTTCCGCTTGGGGTGGTTGGTATGAGCCTGCATGGCTCCTGCCCAGGGCAGACAGGGACAGGTCACAGGAGAGGGGCTAGGTAATCCCTGGCGGTAGATACTGTACAGAGGTGGTCTGGGGTCCAGGGGGTCCCCTGGGCCTAGCCTAGGCAATAGTTCACAAAGAAATGTCAGGGAGACGCCAGTATTAAAAAAGAGAGATGTGTTTATTCCATGATCAGTACAGACCAAATGCATATTCACCGTATGAAAGTCAAACCAGTCAGTGACTCCAGAGTTTGGCCAACACTGAGGCACCAGCGTCATGGTGTAGAGTGGGTTCTCATGGCACGCGTAACCTCACCAAGGGCTCCAATTATAAAATTAAAAAAAAAAAAAAGCATGGGCAGGAGCGGCCAGCTGGTCAGGGCTGGGCGCCAAGTGGGGGAGTCTCAGTCTGTGGCGCCCCCAGGGTCTGGTGCCCACCTCATCCCTTGGCCCTTCCTTTCTCAGTAAAAAAAAAAAAAAAAAAAAAAAAAAAAAAAACCAACAACAACAAAAAAACCCAACTCAACAGATCTGACATTAAAAAACAAAAAAGCCAACAAATGGGTGGGGGGGGGAGGGGAAGGAAAAGAAATCGCAGCTTTCTGGTTTTATAATTAAAAATAGACTAATAAAGTTTGAAACTGAGTAAAATATAGGCGGATTTTTTTGTGTGTTTTGTCTTTTTTGTGGATTTTTTTGAGCTTTTTCTTTTTTTACACCAGTTTGGTGGAGTCACCAACAAACTTCAAACAAAGATATGCCAACTATGTTCACTATACAGTACAGCCACGGTCACACACTACCCACAGCGCGGTGGCAGCCGCTGCTCAATGAGGAGACGATCACACCATTTCGGAGATAAGCAGTGCCATTGTGTCTGGAGGAGAAGAGAGAATTAAAAATAAAATAGAATTCAACAAAAAATATATATAGAAAAAAAAAAAAAAAACAAACACAGGTGGGAAGGAACTGACTTTGGTTGGCGGCCTCACTCCCCGGCCGAGGGCTACCCACACAGGACAGTCGCCTCGCTCCGGATGCCATGGACACACACACCTCCACGGCACTATTCCCTTTTGCACAAGCAAACACTTACAGAGAGCGGCTCTCAATTAAAGGCTTGTGGGGGAGGGTCGGGGGGGGTCTGTTCAAGGCAAAGTCAGTGCCAGCGAGGGGGTGGGCTGGCCTCGCCCGCTTCCAGCCCACGCGGGCCTGCCCTGGCCTCCTGGGAGCGGGCGGCGATTGCTAGGGTGTGGGGAAGGACTCCTGGCGGGCAGGACGTCACGAACGTCACGTTCTTGGGGACAGAAAACCAGTCACGGTGGCGGCAGCAACGATGTCCTGTGTATACTGTGTAGACATTTGGCGGAGAGAAGGGCCTCTGCCCCGCACGTGGGGATGCAGGGCTTGGGTCCAGCCGGCACTTGCTCGTAACAAGGCGTGCGCTGAGCGGACGTCCTGTGCGGGGTGGTGGGTGGCGGGACGTCTGTCCGACCGGCCGTAAGGCAGATAGGCTCTGCAATCCTCAGCTGCCCGTCAGGCCTGCCCCGGGCATAGCATGCAGGAGGGCCAGGCCCTGAGGCATCCCCTGGCCGCTGCTCCCACCTCCACCGCCGCCCCTAACACTATGGAAAGTCAATGTTTTGCCAGAAAATCAAAGTCAAAAGCCACCTAGGTGCGCTCAGAAAAGATTTTCTTCAAATATTGACAATAGATCACTCTGGAAATTCATGTCAATGGTAGCTGCCATCTGGAGGAGAAAGGAAGGAGGGAGTCAGGAGGGTGACCTAGCCACCCTGCAGCTCCAAGTCCTCACACCCACTGCCCTCCCCAGGGCTGACCCCTCACAGCGCCCATCCCGTTCACACACAGCACTCAGGCCCCTACATCTGAGCCCAGAGGACCGCACGCTGACCAGCAGGGCCTGGGCTCCCCTGCTGCCCCTCCCTGTCCAGTCTCCAGTACCCCTTTCCCAGCTCCCCCAGGAGCTAACCCTTAGGCCAGGGTCCCCACCAGGCCTCCAGACTCACGGCTTCCCGGCGTCTTCGCTCCTGCTCCCGCTTCCGGGCCAACTCCCTCTGCTGGTCCAGCATGGACTGGGGCTGGGAGCTCTGGGCCTGGGGGGTGGCAGCGGCAGCCACTGCAGCCGCTTGTTGTTGCTGCTGCTGCTGCTGCTCCTGGCGCTGCTGCTGCTGCTGCTGCTGCTCCTGGCGCCGGCGAGCCTCTTCATGGGCCCGCCGGGCCTGCTCCAGCGCATCCTCATCCTCTCGGCTCCTGGGCAGAGGGTCCCAGTCAGCCTGGGGACTGGTGTGGCCCCAGGAGTCCCCATGCCCCACCCAGAGCCCTCGCCCACCTCATGCGCTCCTGCCGCAGCCGCTCCTTCTCCTTCTCAGCGTGCTCGGCCTGAGCCTTCAGGGCCTTCTCACGCTCCTCCTTCTCCCGAGCAGCACGGCGAAACTGCTCAAAGCTGTCGCTGGATGACTTGGCTGTGGAGGAGGGGGTTGTTGGATGCTTCTGCACTAGGCTGGCCCAGGAGCCCATGTTCTTGATTTTCAGGTCCTGCAGAACAGAGAGGTTGGGGTGGGTGAGGGGTCTGCTGTGCCTAAAGGGCATAGCAGGGGGCATGCCCAGCATGGCACCTTCCATGGCCAAGGGGCAAACGACACCCATGGACCTCCATCTCGACCTTTTTGGGTGCAACCGGAGTCTTCGGCTCCTGTTTCTGTTTGTCCTTGTCAGGGGCCCCCGGTGGCGGTGCGTTCTGCTCGGGGGGCCGGATCACAGGCCTCCCGACATCCACAGGCTTCATCTCCGGCCCTGGAACATAAACAGCCCATGGGCCCAGGCCCACGGCGGCGCATGGTCCACCAGCCCCACAGCAAGCTCACGTCCAACATAGGCCTGGGGACCTGAGCCCTGGCTGTGGGCGGACAGGGCACTCACGCTGGGGCAGATGGACGGGGGCCTTGATGCTCTCCGGGTGCTTGGGGGGTTCCGGCCGCAGCGAGGGGCTGAAGGGCTCACTGCGGATGATGGGTGAGTGGATCTTCTCCTCCTTCACCACCACCAGGGGCTGGGGCTGGACCACGGAGGCTGCACGCAGCTCCTGGGATGGCACAGGCACAGCAGCTGGTGAGGTGAGCAGGTACCCCCGGCCCCGGTCCACGCCTGGCCCTGGAGACTATGGCCCAGTCCTGCCCGTTACCTGCTTCTTAGGCTGGACGTTTTGCTGGGGTGGAGACTGGTGGGTCAGGCTCTGGAACTGTGACATCTGGGGGGAATGTATCATAAGCGGGGAGGGGGCTTCGCGGAGGTGACCTAGGAGAGGGGACAAGGAATATGTCAAGGGGCTGGCTTAGAGCTGCAGGCCCTGGGCCACTTGGGCCCTGAGAGAATTGTCAGGAAGGAAAAGATGGGCTGGACGGAGAACCTGCACATGTCACCCAGGCCCTGGGACAAGGGTCCATCAGTCCAGCTCAAGAAAGTAAAGACCCATGCAAGAGACTGGGCCTGGTGAGGACATCACCCCTCCCCCAAAGGGCTGAGTGCCCTGTGTCCCCCTGCACGTGGGTAATAACTCAGTGTGCAGCAGGGCTTTCTGGAGCCCTGTGGCACCAGTCCTGGTGTTTGACCCTCTTGTGTGCATCAGAACCATCTGGGATGCTGTGGCAAACACAGATCCTGACACATGTGGGCTTGGCAGGGCCTGGGCCCTAATACTTTTTAACCCCACAAAGCTCAGCCTGGGTTCCTGGCCCACTTGGATGACAGCAGGGGGTGCGGGACTCACTCGTGAGGTTGGGGATGCTCAGGACCCTCCCCATGGTCCTAATTCCCCACTCAGCCTGCACGCCCCACAGAAGAGGGAAGCCTGGAATTGGCCTCCACCTGGGCCGAGTGGGGAGCAGGCAGAACAGGGCCTGGAGCTGTCTCTTTTAGGAAACAGACCAGCCTGCCACCTGCATCCAACCCAAGGCTGGGAAGGATCCAGTAGCCACAGGGACTACTGGGCTCTGAATCACAGTAAGCCAGCACCTCGGGACTGCGCAGCTGGAGGAGGTGACTCCTGCCCATTCAGCACGTGGCCTCTCTCTGTTGGAATCCCTGCAGGCAAGGGGCCTCACTGCCCATTGACTAGCTCCAGCTCGGGACAAGCCACACTGTCCACAAAGGAGGTTGCCTCTCTGCAATGCTTTTGCTCCCAGCCTAGCCTCACGCCCATCTCCTTCCACCGTCTGCCAGCACAGGCACCCTTGGGTTCTCCAGGAGTCCTGTTGGCTGGAGGCACCTATTTTCATAGGCCTGGAGCAAACCACAATGCCCCAGGTGTGGTAGATTCTCCTGCCTCTCTAGAGCCAGGACCCACTCCTAATGCCAGAAGACATTGCAGCTGCTTGGAGCCCATATGGTGGCCAGGCCCACCCTGTCCCCGCAGCCCACTGCCCTGTGTGGCTGGTTTTCCTGGCCTTGACGTCTCCTTCAATTCTAGCACACTGGGACCACTCTGGGCACTGCCATTTCCATTCAGTGCTGGAGGGCCCCAGGTCTGGCCCGCCAGGGATCCACAGGCACACGACTGCAACAGCTTCCCACCCACCTAGGGTGGGAAGCCTTCCGCACCTGCTGAGTCTGACCTGGGCAACAGTAGGCGCCGGGGGCTGTGGTTTATAGAAACCACCCGCCTGCTGGTGGGTTCAGAGGGTGGCTCACGGATGGCTCCTGAAAGCTGGCAGGGTGCCCAGGGATGCCTGTTAAGTCTCTCTGGGAGTCTAACAACTTGGCTTTTGGCCCGAAGCTCCCAGCATGATCCCAATCCACACTCCTCTTGATGCCCCATCCTAGTCTGTTGGGGCTCGAGTCAGGGTCAGGGACCTGCAGGAGAGCTGGCTGGAGGAGACCTGCCTCAGTCCTGGTAGGCGCCCGGTGCACCTGAGTGCTGGCTCTAAATGCCTTGCATTCCGTCTATTACCCCCAACAGGAGCCTGGCCCTGCTTGTGTGAGAACAGGCACAGCCGCACAGCTGCGAAGCCCAACACCAGTGTTTCCCGAGGAGGACAGGCAGCTGTTCCTGGCTCAGGACACGCAGCGATCCACTTGGCACCTGGCAGCTTTTTTTTTTTTTTTTTTTTGAGATGGAGTCTCAATCTGTCACCCAGGCTGCAGTCCAGTGGCACGATCTCAGTTCACTGCAACCTCCGCCTCCCAGACTCAAGCGATTCTCTTGCCTCAGCCTCCCGAGTGGTTGGGATTACAGGTGCCTGCCACCACGCCTGGATAATGTTTGTATTTTTAACACAGACAGGGTTTCACTATCTTGGTCAGGCTGGTCTTGAAACTCCTGACTTCAGGTGATCCACCTGCCTTGGTCTCCCAAAGTGCTGGGATTACAGGCGTGAGCCACCGCACTCGGCCTGCACCCAGCAGCTTTTGTTGAGTTAGGAGTAATCACAGGCCTGCCTTGTTGCTGATTTGCAGGTAGCACCTGGTACACGCCCAAGACAGACAGCACCATCTACACTGTTGAGGCCAGGACCCTCCACCCTAACCCTGCAGCACCACATCAGGAGGCACTGACCAGAACGTCCCCTGCCAGAGCCAGCCAGGACATTTTGGTTACTGACACTTAAGTGCCCAGAACAGGTGAGAGGGTGTGGCCTGACCAATGCTGTCAATGGGAAAAGGGTGGCCTGGACTGGACTGGAGGCTGGGAACAGGTGACGAGGACAGGTCCTGGGCGGGCTCTGAGCTGCCTTTGAGCTTCCAGCGCAGTGCTTCCCACCATGGTTCTGGCTCTCCCTGAACTTCACTACTCACACTGCTTTCTAAGTTAGCTGCTACCTGTCTGTGATCACTGCCTCTTGGAAGCATATCCTGACCCCCTCGAGGTGGATCAGGTGCCTCCCCTGGGCCCCTAGCTTCCCCACCTAGCGAGAAGTCACCTAGCATTGTCATGCTCCTGACTCTAAGTTCTAAGAGGGACCAGAGGGGCCTTATTCTGGGCGATCTCGACTCACAAGCAAGACAGACACCTGATAAACACGCTGCAGAAAGCACCAATGACCCTTCCAGGTCCCCCTCCAAACAGCCAGACTTTGAGGCTCAGCTCTGAACCCACTGCAGCCTAAAGCATGAGTTAACCCTTCTGGCTTCCTGAGGACAAAACTACAGGCCCAGCACCAGCCTCCCTAGAGTCCATAGGTGAGGGCCACTTACCGGTTGAGTAGGGGTCCGACTTGTGGTGCCGGGGTGAATGGTGGTGCTGGATGACTTGCTGAGGCTTGGCAGGCTGCGGAATGACCAGCAACTAAAGCAGGTTAGGTTGGACCTCAGAAGTCCTGCTTCGGGACACAGGTCACCATGCTGGCAGGCAGAAGGCAGCACGTGGCCTCGGCTTCCTCTGGTGCTGACAGCTTGGCACACAGCGGGGTGGATGGTCCAGGTGTGTCTGCGCTGCGATGTATCAGAAGCCAGCATGCCCACCTCTGTCCACCCCAGAGATTTACACTAAGGGACTTTGGCAGCGATGTCCCCTCACCACCATGGATTGTGTACAGCACCCCAGTGGGGGAATGAGCCTGGCAGTGCTCACGGGCTGGCAGGTACACAGTCGCAGCCACAGATGAGCCGGGCCCATGATGTATGTTGCGCTTTGTATTCCTGTCACTGAGAAGACTTCATGTCATTCTTTGCTCTTGCTTGCCTGAGGCTTCTTGCCAGGGGCTGCTTCTGTGCTTGTTGTGTTGGTAGGCAT